CGGCGTAATCAGAAAATAATAATAATAATAATTTCAGATTGAATTGAATGAATTGTTTTTTTCATCTCTCTCTGTGTGTGTATGTGAATATAAAAGATTTGTTTGAATCAAAAGTAAAATATATATTTTTTTAAAAAAATGATGAATTAAAATAACCATCGGGACCCAAATATCACCTGTGCGTATGCGTGGATCCCTGTATACAACCTACCTTTATTTATATTTTCTTTAGCCATAATAATACTAAATTATGTTGAGATTTTAATCTATCTATCTATCTCTCTCTCTAGCTCTGTCTGTCTATCTAAATCTAAAGTTAGCTATAGCTATCTTATTTATTCTTGTGTTGTCTTCTTTTTTTTCAAATGTCTATAATTTTTTTCTTTCTTTTTTTTTTGAAAAAAAAGATTGAAGGGGAAAAAATCTATCAAATATTTCTGTATATTGAATGCTACAATTTTGTTACTGTTGTCTTCCTTATAGATATTTTCTTCAGAAACAAAAAAAACTAGTGCAACAGGTGTCCAATAATAATCTTTATATGAACGAATGAATGTTTTGAATACCAATTCGATCATTAAGATTTGTCATACAAGTTATTTGTATTTATTTATTTATCTTCTTGTTTTTTTCTCATTTTAACCGAACAAAGATTTGACCATTTTTTTTTTTGATTCGATCAATTGGTGATGATTATGATGATGATGATGATGATAATGAAGGGCTAATAATGTAATGTTGTTTCGAATGAAATGAAGAGAAAGAGAAAAAATTTTTGACATAACCAAAACCAAAATCAACCAACCAACCAGCTAACCAACCAACCAATCACGCAAAAGCTGGCACGCAAATGATTATGGCCGGTCAAATATTTTATTTTTTTCGATTTCTTAAGATTAAACAAGATAGATAACCAGTTTTTTTTTGTTTGTCGCTTAAAAAATGTGAATGGTTTATATATTACTGTATTTTGGCTACCATATAAACATCAACCTATTCTTGGAATTTTCCAAAAAATATTTGAATTTTTCATTCGTTCTTTCGATCGATCGATTTGAATGAATTCACTGAAATCAAAAATCGATTGATTTGGTCAATTATTTTTTCTGGGAAAAAAATTGCCATTATTATATTGGATATCAAAACAAAAAAAATTGGAAAATTTTGAATAAATATTTTGACGAAAAAAAAACCAAATTTTCATTTGAAAGAGTTGAGAATTCCAAAATATTTGTTGTTTTGAACAATTTTTTTTTTGATACTAGATAGATTTATGTATACCTTTATTATATTTTTCATTCGTTTATTTGGTTTTTTGCTCAAAATGCTTTTTGAAGAAGAAAAAAAGATAACCGAAGATATTTGTTGTTTTTCCCCCTCTCCTTCAGAAAAAAATTATCATCATTATATGGTAATCGCTGTCATCAATAATGTTGATGGTGATGAACAGAACCACGAACATACGGCGTCGGCAATGATGATGATGATGAAAATCCAATCAAGTTAGTTTCTTTTTTTCATCATTATTTTGATCATGATGATATCAAAAATAATCAAAAAGTGAGAGAGAGAGAGAGAGAGAGAGAGAGAGAGAGAGAGAGAAA